ATAGCAAAAGAGACCACACAGGAAAGGCGGAAGATGTCTTCCATAAACTAAGCAACGTATTAGATTTGAAATTTCTAGAGATACAGTCGGAGCATGTTGAACATTTTCAATAAAGTTTTGACGTTAGATTTATAAATCTATTTGGTTTGTATCAAAATTAAATAATAAACACAAAATTGCGTCAATTTAAAAAAAAATATTTGACCGATTTCATTGAAATAGATAGTTAATTCTGGGACATCATTCCAGCCAGATCATCCTGAAGCTACCGGTTCTCTCTTGATAATCGAATTTAGGTAGCATCAAATCAGATATATATATCTATAGCTACGGCTCAGAAACATATAGAAAGCGACGAGTGGCCTCCTGCCAGACCTTAGTAAATAATCCAAATATCTATATCTATCTAATAAATCATATGGCGTCCGTTAGACGAGTTCAAACTGTATACGAATCCGCATTTCCAAAGCTCTCAGCAAAAATCCAGTCCCCTTTCAAGAACGTGAACCATACCTAATAATAATAATAATAATAATAATAATAATAATAATAATAATAATAATAATAATAATTCATGTTTCACAATTGCATACATCGCCACAACGGTGTAATTTTTCAATTGTTCCTTTGGATCGGTAGCCGGTAGAATTTACACATTTGACACCACCAATGACATTGGCATCCCATAAATCTTTGTCAGCATAAGAAATTTAAAAATCTTACAAAACTAACGGTTATATCTGGGATTATATAAAATACAAAACTGACATTCGTAGGAATTACAAGTGCATAATGTTGTTTGATGATCCGAGATGAAGTATTTTCAATACCGAAAATATCCGAGTAATATACGCGTCTGTAATGCACACCGCTAACTTTTTGTTCGACAAATTCAGGCAAAAATTATTTTTTGTCGGTACGAGGCGGGTCAAAAAATTTGAAGGTAAATTTAACCAAAATTTAACTTTTCCTCAACTTTATTCGCCTCGATTGAAAATAAAAATTTATATAGATTATGTTTTGAAACACACATGCAGTTTTTAGTTAATGATTTAAACTATTACTTACTCATCATTTAGGACCTTTAGATATTAATTTAATTTTGGCCATGCTGTCTTGAATAAAGTAACACATGTAGCTGGAAAAATATTTAGTACTCGTTGTATAATACATCCTGCTAACTTTTAGGCTTAAAAATCTAAAAAAAGGTGGGGGCGCATTATACACGCATAGTTATTGTTATATTTGGTCGGTTTAGATTTATCATTTAACTTTGAAAATCTTATTTTATTAGAAAGACGTACATTGACACGTAGGATGGAAATGATTTATTTATATTCAAATTACTGAATGAAAATTTGATCCCTCCCCCGTGGGTCCAAGTCATGGGTCAATAAAATAAGAATATTTTTAAGACTGTTTTTAATTTGTCGAATTTGTTAAATTAATGAAATTCAAATAAAATATAAGAAAAAAGATTTTTTTTTGCCATGGATGAGTGTATACCTACATTTCTTTATTAATGACATTTATGAGAAAATAATAAAAAAATTTAAATTAACATTTGTACAACGCTTTATTCGGTCCTCATCGACTAAAAATAAGAATTTATATTATATTTTGAGAGACAACATTTACGTCGTATTTAGAGCAAACAAACGGACGGCCATGTTGGACCGGTTCGCGCGAAAATGCATGCGTTTACGGCGGGAATAAATTCATGTATGGAAAAAGAAAATTATCTGGAAATACACATAAAAAAGCAATGTGGGGTTAGTGGTCTAAACGCCTTGTTACATGTTGACGTACGTGGCAAGAAAAAATAGTTAATTTTACGCTTAAAAATCTAGAAAAAAGTGCATTATACCATAATAATTATGGTATTCCATATATTATTCTGCATAGTATCATATTTGTATTTATCCCTATATTGTGCGGGTGGTATGATGTTTGGAAGTCTTAAACGAAAAATCAGCGAGCCGAGTTCGAATTCTGGCCGAGATCGTTACATTCACTTTCGCGCAAGATACCTTTGGAATTGGATAAAAATCCATCTTCTCCGGAATAGGTTAAATAGCCTGACAAACTGGATTGTCTAGCTGTGGTTGGTAACTAGTATTGGAAGACAACTCCAAATTTTAATCTGTATATAACCCTGGTGAGGTATATACTTAACTGTAACTAAGGTCTGCTCAACATAGTTGCAATAACAAGAGGCTGGCTCTATGAGTGTTGAAGAAACACAAATGGTCCTGAGCAGATGGGTATGCCCGGACACGAGCAGCCGTGTTGAAGATGAGAAATCACCCGTATTTGCATTGTGTCTTCAAATCGAAACCTCTCTGATGATGATCAAGATCACAACCTTTCATTTGATATATTCTCAGGTTTTCCACTCGTGTATGTGCATACTGTTGTCTTTGAAAATTGATTTAATACTTTTTTTCTTTTTCATCTAATTATCTGATCAATAAAAATAAAAATAGTCATACGTATTCATAATCTTGTCCAGATTAATGAAGATTCAATACAGTTTGAGTGGCTTGTAATGGATATAATCCACCGGAATACCAGTGACATTTACTTAATTGCAAGGCATCAAATCGCGAAATGAAGTTGTCTTGAACGGCCACTCTTCTAGATCTTTTTGTCTATTAATGCAGTTCTCCACCTACGTTCCTAATTTTCATCAATGACCTTCCTGATGTCATCTCTGTATCTATGCTGATGATGCAACTATTTACTCCTGTCTTAATGGTAAGCCTGATCGATTCGATAAGGTCAGCTGATGACTTACAATTTGTTGTTAACACAGGAAAGGTGTTAATTTGAACACCTCCAAAACGAAATTACTTTCTTTTAATCGTCCTAGGGAACATTTTCGCCTTCTATCAGAATGGCTGATGCTAACCTCCAGGAGATGGACTCATTGCACCTTCTCGAGTTAAATTCTTCCGATGACATGAAGTGGAAGCATTATATTCAATCAATTGCTAGGTCTGATGCTAGGAAAGTAGGTTCACTGTGTTGTGCCAGACAATTTTCTCGGCAAAATCTATCTTGCACGTTTATAAATACCATTCGTCCGTGCACTGAATATTGCTGTCGTATCTGGTTTGATGCTCTTGGTAGATATCTCGAGAATATCCAAAAAGGGTCCGCAATGTTATCGGTCCTGACTGGCATCTCGGCTTCAAGAGATTTTCCCACTGCCGTAACGTAGGTTACGAGTGCGTTTTCTATGAATATTTTCAGGATAATTGTTTTAATGACCTTTCCACTTTGGTACCTAGACTTCATGAATTTAAGCGCAGTACTGGATTGGCTGCAATATCTTAACATTTTACAATAGAAATAACTAGTTGTAACCGTAAGTTCTATTGTAATTTTCGTCTCACGCACTTCTCGCTTGTGGAACTTTTCTGGCTTTTTGCTTTCCAGTCAACTTTGATCTTCAAAAATTTAAATGCAGTGTCAATCATCATCTACTGTCTTCTTAATTTCTGTTCTTTTATTTTTCTCTCTTCTTATTAATGCTTTTCTTTTTCTCATATTCTTTAACTCCATGCATCTTAGTGGATTCATTGCCTTACTTGCGTGAAATGCTTAAAAAAATGTGAATGGCAAAATAGAACAATTCTGTGTGACGCGTTTCGTTCTTCACACGGATTTCTTCAAACTAGTGTTTTTATTGATGGGACAATGTAGGAGGTGAGAACGAAAGACAACACTCGTCGTTTAATTTTAAATTGTTGGAATACAATATGTCTAGCTGATCTCATTCAGCTTTTTAGCACTATTGATTTCGTATTATTACTGCCATTTTTAAATACATTGCAATAGCAGAAAGGCGACCTGCAGTAAGAATCTAGACGTAAATTTACCGTGGAAGATTCAGAAATTTGTGCACATTTCTGTACATTTTCGCCTTAATAAATTACTTCATCTTTTAATAAAAGCTGCACAGTTTTAATAGAATCTATGGTAGGATTTATTACAATGAACGATTAATGCATTGAATGCGTTGTTTCGTAAATGATCTCCTTTGTTTTCATCCATTCTGTTATTTAAATTCCTATAAGCTTCGTCTGTGCATTTCTTATAACTTTATTACACTCTTGCTTTCGATTTTAGGATGGTATTTTTTAAATTTTTGAATTAAATAAATCTCTTATTGTTTTATAATCGCTTCTCGACCTTTTGGCCCAGGGAGGTTCAAATAATATTAAGCCCAAACCCCAGGCGTACCTTCTCCCCAGGCAGTACTTCTCCTTTGGGAGGGAGCTGAGTTTATTGCCCGGCACCTGAGGCGTCCCCAAAAGAAGACATGCCGAGGTGGCTTGAGCAATTTTTCTATGGTATTGCCGGTAAACTCATTTTAAACCTCGACCTTGTGTCACTTGTAAGTGACGTTGTCGCGCTGAAAAATATCGTCTTTATTTATATATATATATATATATATATATATATATATATATATATATATTTATGGATATGATTTGTTATGCGATCCTTAGACAACTGAGGATCACATAAGCGTGAAACCGCTAGTCATAAACCAATATCCATTCAACTAAGTATGTTAGCTCTATTACTGATATTGACCGCTTTCCAATAAGCACCGCACACATAAAAATATATATAAAATTTATATATGTACGCATATATCTATATAGATATTATACTTATATATATGTGTCTCTGTGTGTATATATGATGTATGTGTTTGTATATATATATATATATATATATATATATATATATATATATATATATATATACGGTTAGCAAGTTAGAATTACTATTTATAAACTCACAATTCGGACTTTGCTAAAGAGACGCTTCTCTGTAGCTGAATGGTACAGTATATGTATATATATATATATATATATATATATATATATATATATATATATATATATATATATATATATCCTCTTTGATGTTGGTCATATTGCTACCACAACGTTTCAGTTGATTCATTCTATGGGGTTAGTGGCTTACGGCCACACCACGTTGAAGCACTGGTTCCCGTACGATTACTGAAGTTAAGCAACGTTGAGCCTAGTCAGTATCTGGATAGGTGACTGCTTGGGCATGCCAGGTGCTGTAAAACTGTATGTGCGGTTGGTGTAATGGATACTGGTTCGGAATTGATAATAGGAAAGCAGAGTTTCAATTCCCGTTGGATTCATTACATTTACTTACACACAAATACCTTTGGGAAAGGCATGAATCCACCTTTTCTCTCAGTCCAGCATTAGGTTAATTAGTAAGACTTATAACACTAAATCATTACTATCTTAAAAAAAAGAAGAAATTCGTACAATGTAAAATAATTCTTTTCTGGCTTCAAATAACTTGCAAGCGCTTGATAAATCATTCATTCCATACGTTTCGTAAGGTGTATCATTCAAATGGAGCCTCTTTTATATCGAAATGAGGAATTCAATTTCCCGAACAAAATTTGGAAAGTGCGTATAGATTTTTATGAACACCTCACACACAATATCTATCTATCTATCTATCTATCTAAGTCTGTTCATGTCTATCCATCTATCTATTTATCTATGTCAGTCTATTCATATCTATCTATCTATCTGATAGGGTGTGTACGTCTTCATATAAAATGACGCTATTCAAGTGGATAAAGATTAGCGAACGTGACAAGAAAATCGAGGAAGGCTGTCAAAACAAAAAAAAATCTACTTTGGCAAGTTGGGTGAGGAAAGGAAAAAATGTCGAGTGACTCTTGATTATTTCACAGCTATCAAATAAAAAAAGGAATAATAATAAAAGCGAAAATAAAACTGTGAGAACAACAATTAAAAATTGTCATAAAATCTTGTCAGTTCGTAATAAGAGTGAGAAACAAGAAACAGCTACCAGCTTTCAATTTGCACGCAGTTACATTTGCCTTTCGCTGGTCACTCGTATCTAGCGTATAGCGATTGTCTAAGCGTAGTTTAGATGTGGCACAAGGCTGCAAGTGTGGAGCACCCAGTGAGAATCGAACTTACTGCTCAGTTGTGATTGATTTAGCGAGTCAAGCTTGTTAGCCATAAGACTATATCGAAGTGCCCAATTCTTTTCTAGTGTATGGTGATTTTCTAAGCGTGGCTAAGATGTTGTACAAGGCTACTCGTTGGGACACCCTGTCAGGATCGAACTCACTATTCAGGCGTAATTGATCTAGCGAGACAAGATTTCTAACCATTACACCAGGTCGTAGTGTCCAACTCATTTCTAGCGTATGAATTCGATACTGACATTAAAATCTAAGAGTTGTCCGATGTTAGATTTTTGTGATGGTGTTTGTGCAACATTGACCTGCATCCTCAGTTCTATCATTATCTCTTTGACTACGAAGACGCATTATCAGGCAAAATTCAAAGTTTTATTCATATACATACATTCTCCCTTATCCGATTTTCTCCACAGCATGTTATTCATTTACAACTAATAATAGTCTATATAATAGTCTTCAGTTGTTCGAATTTCTTAGATGAGGCTTTTTTTATCTTTGCAGATGGAGCTGTTGACACCTTACTCCGTACGTCAAACCTGGGAAAAGGGAGCAATCAGTTTCCTTAATAACAGAATAAAACTTGGCATCTCGACTTCACTTACTTTCTCCCCGACGTGATGTGGCTTCCCTCTGTCTTTTCTACACATATTTTCATGATAACTGCTCTGACGAGCTTTTTTTTCTCGTACCCCGATTACATAAATTTATGCGTGTTACTAGATTGGCATCTAGGTCCCACTTTTTTAATGTTGAAATAGTTAAATGTAACCGACACTTCTACTCCAACAGTTTATTTTCTAGCAATTCCCGCCTGTGGAACTCCCTTCCGATTCATTGCTTCCCTGATAACTATAATCTTCAAAATTTTAAATGCAACGTCAATCGCCATCTTCTGTCTTATTGAATTCCGTTTATCTTTTGCCCTTTCCTCAATCCTCCCAATCCTCAATCTTTTCTCTCACTTTCACTATCTGTAACCCACCTGCGTACAAGTGACATTCCCACCTGGCTTGAGGGTGAAATGATTAAAAAAACAACAAAACATTTATACATTCGAATTTCTTAGCTGAATCATTTTCCTGATTAATTTTCGATTAATTTTTTTTTCATATACATTTCTTTGCTGCTTTTTATCGTCATGCTTGAGTAGTTTTTACTGGCTATGATTGTAAGTAGTATGAAAAAGTAGGCCTAGACGATGTTTAAACACGCATCCCATATATTTGCGAACCCGTCTGGTATGAACGACGCATTATCGATTTGATAACGGAGACTCATTATCATTGACAAAGGAGACTCATTATCATTGACAACGGAGACTCATTATCAATGACAACGGAGACTCATTATCAATGACAACGGAGACACATTATCATTGACAAAGGAGACTCATTATCATTGACAACGGAGACTCATTATCAATGACAACGGAGACTCATTATCAATGACAACGGAGACACATTATCATTGACAACGGAGACTCATTATCAATGACAATCAGAGACTCATTGTCATTGAAACGGAGACCCATTGTCATTGACAACGGAGACACATTATCATTGACAAAGGAGACTCATTATCATTGAAACGGAGACTCATTATCAATGACAACGGAGACTCATTATCAATGACAATCAGAGACTCATTGTCATTGAAACGGAGACCCATTGTCATTGACAACGGAGACACATTATCAATGATAACGGAGACACATTATCATTGACAACGGAGACTCATTATCAATGACAACAGAGACTCATTATCATTGACTACGGAGACTCACTATCATTGACAACGGAGACACATTATCAATGAAAACGGAGACTCATTATCAATGACAACGGAGACACATTATCATTGACAACAGAGACTCATTGTCATTGACAACGGAGACTCATTTTCAGGCAAAATTCAATGTTTTATTCATATAGATAAATTTCCCTTATCCGATTTTCATCTTAACATAAGATATACAGGTGACACAGTGTTGATAGCAAAGACAGAAAGAAAGCCACAAAAACTCCAACAAAAGGTAGTGAAGGAAAACGAGAAGAAAGGACTATATATCAATTGCAAGAGGACAGAATGCATGATTGTTAGCAAAAGGATGAGCCAATAATGCAAATTACAATATTGGAGATATTTAAATTAAGTATAAAAATTTAAACATCTGAGAAGTGTTTTATTAAGAGGACGTAAATTATGACATTGAAATGAAATCCGAAGACAAAGATGCATTCAAAAAACTTTAAGAAGAGTATTAAGAAACAGAAAAAACTTCATTAGAAACAAAGAAAAGAGTACTGAACTGTTACCACATGATATCTTTCCTCCTACATGGCAATGAATGCTGGACAATCTCTTCAAAGATGAAGAAGAAACTTGAAGCAACAGAAATGTGGTCCCACAGAAGGATGCTAAGGATACCATGGACCGAATATATGAGCAACGATGAAATTTTAGAGAAAATGGAAACAAAAAAGACACTAATACTTAACATCAGGAAGAGAGAATTGAAGTTTCTCGGGTACATAATGAGGAAAGAAGGTTTGGAAAATCTGATATTCGCAGGAAGGCAAGAGGGACACAGGAAAACAACGCATAACCTACATAGCGAGCTTGAATAAATGGATGGTGAAACAGGGTTTAGGAAAAATAACAAAAAAGATTAAAAATATATGTAAAAAGCTACAAAGGACAAGAAATGGTGGAGAGCCATGATTGCCTACGTCTTGAGGGGACATGGCATATAAAGAAGAAGAAGTAGAATATTATTCGTTTACACTTTGTTGTAATATTAGTAGTAGACCTAATAGTCTTAAGGTATCCGATTTTCTTAGAAGAATCCTTTTTATTATTCACATTGGACTACTTTCATAATATTTAACGGCTTTTTTATATTTCAACGCCGATGTTATTTTAACTATTACATGCATCAGTAAGTAGCATGGATGGGAAACAAAGAAATACTCTCCGACAAGATTTGAATTCACAGCCGTAATTCTTATGAATACATCTGTCGATTTAGACACTTTTTAAAGATAAGGCTCAGATCAATAACATAGAGAAACAATAGTATACAATAGAGATACAACCCAACTCAGTAGGATCTAAAGAGACATTAATGTCGATATCTATCTATCTATCTATCTATCTATCTATCTATCTATCTATCTATGACTTTAAAGTAGTGGTAAGCAATTATGTTTTGCAGTATTACTGTTGGATGCTCTCTCTCTCTCTCTCTATATATATATATATAGATGGATTTTCATATGGAGTAGTATGGGACTTGGGCCTACTGGGCTGCTGGTCAGTGGCCACAAGTCTAGAGGGGACCCCAAAGGATGTAAAAACAAAAAATAAAAAATAAAGATATAAGAACAGAGAAGATTTATTTATTTTCAAATATATTGAGGCTGCTTTGAACTAATTTGAAAAAAAAATTTAGACGATTTGGACCCTTCTAATTGGAGTGGCTTTTTTAAAACTCGATGGGGCTCTTTGGAGGAACCTTATTTAGATTTTTTTTATAGACACGGGTGTGCGGATAGGTCATCATACGTAATGAAGGGCCCCCAAATTCTATTAGCCCCTGAGCCTCTTTTGATCTTAAATATTCACTGTTTATTGTTCAAAATATGTGATTAATATTCACCGCTGAATTAAGTGCACTGACCAAGGAGGGAGATCACGTCGAAAAATAAAACTATAAATCTGTTCCTTTGTAAGAATTAATTATTAATGATGTCATTCAGAATTTCAAACAACATTGCTTTCAATGGACCCTTTTATTCATTTTCGTTTTTATATTTGTCCTCAGTGTTGTTAACGCTTTTTACGCATACATTCAGACTCTTATGAACAATGATAGGGAAATCTTAAATTTGTCTCAGAGTTTTTTTTATGCAGTTGTTTTTTTATATTGCTTAGGTAATCAGTCAACTATAGCATTCCGATTAGCAAAGAAAATGAAAGCAAAAAAAAAAAATGGACTCAACATGAACTTACAAAACCGAATATCGGTCACCGTTTAAACACGTGTCATCCTTTTCTTGTATGTCAAAGAAAATGTCATTTTAAGC